TAGATGAAATTTTAAAAAATCCATATGAATTCAGACTTATAGGCTAGTTATTTTCGGAAAACTCCACGACAAATTTTTTAGCTATATATGAGTTTTATGGATATTAGAATATTCTAAAAATTTCAGCTCGAAGTAATATATTCTTCTTGAGATATTGAGTTTCTAATGAGGGAACCCATCCAACTCTAATTAGGACTCGTACCATTCAACTTTTTGTCTTGATTTATAATCATTTTTACAAAACTTTTAGCCTATTGTAGGATATTATGAGAAAAATTACAATAAGAAATTTCATTCTCTATGATATATTGAACGTTTCAGCTCAAATCGATGTTTTTCTTTTAAAATAATTTGTTTGCAAAAAAAAAATATTACTTTCATAAAAGGGCTCCCAAATATTCTAGATTTTAGTCATACAGTATCTTAAGATAAAATGATTCATTTGAGTTGAAATTTTCAGAACATAATTGGGATCATTGGAGCTATTCTTCGATGAAAAGCTCCATCAAACGAGCATAAATTGAGAAGAAAAAACTAATGGCACGAACTTCTTCAGGATTTCAATCTATCCTATGAGACTTGTTTATCAATAGAAATCTTTCAACTTAGATTTTCATAAATAACTGGTCAAGAACATGAAATAAAATAGTCATCACTCTTGCTCAGTACTGCATGATCTCGAACAATACATATAAGTTCTTATCGGATTACTATCGACACACAACACTTGCTAGTAATCATATGGATGTAATTATCTTTTATACCGAATATTTCTGGCGAAGAAATTGAAATTGATCAAGAAGCTCGTAAAGCATTGAATTTTATGGAAACAGGTAATACACAAAACAAAAAGAAAATAAATTTTTACATTACATTATTTAATACAGTGATTCGATTTCATACACATATATTTATGTGGCGTCTAAGACCAATGAAAAGTGCAATTGTTCGATTATTTCCATATGTATATTTTAATTAAATATATTCATATTGATTTGATATATATATGTCTAAATATATTTTTCTAGCTGTGCGAATTAGAAAGTATTGTTCCAAGTGAAAATTTAACCATCAGTCGAATGCATGTCGCTATGACTTATTTTACATACACCATTTCTTGAATCATTGATTGAACAATTAGAATACGTAAATACATATTCAATTAAAAGAAAGAAAAAATTTATTTTATTTTTTGTTCGGAAAAAAAA